ATATATACATATATTTTATATTACAGCTTTGATATATATATATTACAGATATGTTAACTATATATATATGATATAATTTATTTATTTTTCCATATTATATATATAATATCTTTGTCCGTATGAATCCAAAGTACCTCGAGCCGCGCAATGGTGTCGTTGGCATGGGCCAGGGCAATTGAATTGGACTTGTGGTTGCTGGACGACGCGACTTGCGCCGCCCGACTGGCCGCGAGCAGCTCTTCTAAATGGGCACGTTCTCGCTCGAGTAGATCCATTTTCAATCGTTGCTCCATGTGCAATCCCCTGGCTGCCTACTCCTCCATTAGTATATATCACACATATATATTTATATATATACAACAACCGTACCGCGAGCTGTCCGTCCACGACAGCCACTCGTTGCGCCATGGCGTTAAACTCGTTCTGGCTATCCCGAAGTTGCTGCGATTCCTTTGCAAGTTTCTTCTCGAGGGCGTCCAGCGCCATGGATTTCTCGACAACTTTAGCTTCGGCGTCGGCAGTCACCCGCCGGAGCTGTCCATCTCGCTCCACTTGCACGTCCTTAAGCGTCCGGTCCAGCTGCCGCTCACGCTCCTTCAGATTGTCTTCGAGCAGCGCCAGCCGCCGGCTTTCATTTGCATGTTTCATGGCTTCAACGTCCATACTTGAGAGCAACTGCCGCTCCTTCGACCGCACACTGTCGAGCTCTCGCAGCAACGTCTGGCGCAACTCAAACAGGTCGCTCTCAAGTTGCTACAGAACGACCGTAATTGGAGTTGCTGAATTCGATAAATGTACGAAGAACCTGGCGGTGGTCGGCAAATTCGAGGCGAAGCCGCGCCTCGGCATCGGCCAACCCGTCGGCTTTCGCGGCATATTCGGCTTGAAGCGCCGCTCGAAACTTGTCCGATTCCTGGGCATGTCGTTTGCGCTCCTCCATGCGCATGATGGAGATGTCCATGGCTCGGATACGCTCAATCTAATGCAAATGTACGATTTCGATATATAGTTATAGATGAATATGTATCGAGATGAAAGCCATCGCTTTATGATTCAGTAGTATCATACTTCGAAGTATACTGTATTCTTTGAAGTATTTCAATACATCGATGGCACTTCATTTTGGTATATATATATATATATATATATTGAGAATTTCGATAAGAAATATATCTCTTGGGTTCACCTATTTTTACAATATATATAACTATATATTTGAGAGTTTTGATATAATAGATATATTTCTTGGGATCTCTTTTTTTTGCAATATATATATATAGTTCGATACTACGTAGTATAACGTTATATTTGATCACGGTCAATATATATTTTTAGGAGAGTTTAGATATTAATATTAAAAAGTATACTATTACCTCCTTTTGAAATTCAACTTGACTCCGCGCGTCGTAGTCTGTCTGGTACGCAACCAACTGCGCTTCGAAGGACCGCTGGTCTTTCTGCATGTTGATGCTCTGGTTCCAGTACATGTCGTCAATGCGCTTCAATTCCGCGTCTAAGCAGGTAGAGCACTTGACAAGAGCATGGTCACGATGATAACGTACCCAGTAGAAACCGGTGATCTTCGTCGAGGGTCTGCGTTTGAATGTCGTGCGACGACACGTCGGCACTGCGTTCCTTTTCCCGGAGCATGTCAATAAGCCACGTGGAAGAAGCGCTTATTGGATCTGGTGCGTTGGGGTCGTTGGGGAGCCGCAACAGCTTTTGAACCATGTCGTCCTGCAAGTCGCAATTCCGAGGTCCGACCTCCGGGACGAACACCGTGAGCGTGTGCTTGAGCTGCTTGGCGTGAAGGTACTGGCAGATCAAACTGTTGGCGACCTTTTCTACAACTGTCCATTCTTGCTCGTTGGTGCTCGCAGCCACCGCCGCAGCGTGCGACGCCTTCTGTAAGGTGTGCACAAACGACGTTCGCAATTGCACCTGCGTAGCCGCATGCATCAGTCGTCACCGTTCCGACAGTACCCCATGAATATACCCGGATTTGATCCACGTAGCCTTCTTGTTGGAACTTGTGGAACAGTTTGCTCTTCATCTGCTCCAGCGACATGGCCGGCTCGTCCGCGGGCAAGTCCATGCCGCTTCGAAATTTGACGCTACAACTGGTATCCGGATAATCATTTTATCCGGCAAATGGTTCCTTCAACATGACTTTCACCCGTGTGACGTTGCCACGTCACGCCATTTCATCTGTACCTTTAGGAACGCTAAATATAGCAGCAGAACAGCAGCATCATGAGCGTGGTCTGTCGTGGCGGCGGACCGACGTATCCCCAGCGGTGGGTAGTAGAAGACCTACCTACATGTACCTTCCTTGTACTACTCCTACCTACCTTCATCTTGGCTAGACCGAAATCGTCGTCTGCATGCAGCGGCAAACTCCTGACCAGCAAGGTGTGCGACCTCCGCGACCCAGACAACCCCATGACCGCGACCGCGACCGCGCCACCGACTCGACCGCAGACGTCGTACAACATGTACCCGTTCCAAGGGATGAACGGTCCGGAAAGAAATGCCCGCATCCGGCACTTGAAGAAACCGAGCTCCGCGTCGTGGTCGCGGTCGTCGTCGCCTCGGCGGTGCGTACATCTCGTTCACATGCCGTAAAAAGTCTCGATGACTCATTGATAACCACGGTGTAGCCCGATTGGTAATAATCACCACCATGGGTTCGATCCCAGCAAACACAGCAACAACCAACATACGAGCCAAGTTCCAACATTGTCATCTGCATCGTCGTCATGGCACGCGGTGCTGCCACGGCCGACGTCGCCGTTGGCCGTGACCCCTGCCGCCGTATTGGACCACCTTGCCCATGAGACCCACCCCCGCGTGAAACCGAGCGACCTGCGGTACATCAACACGTGGCTGCGCAGTTTGGACGACGAGTCCAAGCACTTTACGTCGTATTTTCTGTTTTGCGAGCTCAAGTTCCGTGAGTCGTCGGTGCTCGCGACGGGCAAAGCCATGCCGAACCGGCTGCGCACGGCCGTGGCGTTTCACTGTCTGCAACACGCGACCAGCCTCTTCGGCCGGTACCAGCACGTCCTCGACACAATTTGCCAGTACGGCGACCTTTTTCAAGGCCATTTGGATCATTGTACGATCCATCTGGAATGATATATATTAGGAGCCTAGGGGCAGCGATTTATGCAGACTACGACGTCCGTCTGGCCGACTCACGACGGCCCATCGTGTCCGCGGTCGACTGGTACGACCACGGCATGGCGTATTTCGAGCAGTCCGAGCAACTTCGTGGGCAACTGGTCCGGGTGCAAGCTCGTACGTCGTACACGTCGTCTTCTGAGCAATCTAAACCTGATGGATGGTGCGCAGAATTGGCAGCAGCCGAGACGGAAGCGGAGCGGTTGAAAGACGAAGTGGAGATGCTGACCAGTCAGTGCGACGCCCTCAAACGCCTTCGCGGCCGCAACACGCGGCCGTCTCTTGTCATGCAGCTGCACGACATGGGCGCGATGGACAAGGTGGACATGCTCTTCAAAACGTTTCAGTCGTTCGACGCGCCGAATCGACGCAACGTACGTGTGTGGATGGTCCAGAGTTCGGAACCCCAAAGTCGTGATTTTATTGGCTGCTGCGGTAGATCTTGGTGGGATTGATCCAGACAGTGGAGCAGAATTTGAGCGCCGAGATGCTGTTTGACGTGGTGCAGGCCATGGCCCACGACGAAGGCGAGCGCCTCGCGGAGATGCTCGTGCGCGAGTACGGCGTCAGCGCCGTGTACGTCTAGAGCTTCTACAGCAACTTTACTCCAATGACTCGTCAACGTTGCTATTCTCTGAACCAACTACTCCTGATTGAATTTATTCCCAACCAATCGTATTGTTAGGAAAAAGCCCACTGCTAATGAACACATGAAGAAATTGAAGCGGTTTGTGACAGGGTTTGGCTCGACGTTGAAAGAAGTGAATAAACCTGCAATTGGCACCCCAAGTGACGTGGTACAATGACGTTATCGTGTGTGACGACGTAATGACGTTATCGAGGCCTTATCAGGTCGACCAAACCAACAACGCAGCCGAGTTGCAAGCCGAGCGCGCGACGTTTGAAAAGATGCTGCTGCTCAAGACGGAAATGCAATCGCTCAAGGAAAACCACGAAGTGGAACTGCAGTTTGAACTGGACAAAACCAAGTTGCTTGAGGAAGAGTGCAAGGAGCTAATGACCAAATACCAGGACGCACTCAAGCGCATCCCCAAGCCGGCGCAGGTCATGGACCATGGCGTCCAAGTCGACATGGCGGCCGCAGATGCCACCAAGCGCAAGAAGAAGCGCGGAGATGTATGCAGTTGTCCTGTCATGACATGTTTTGTCTATGAATATGCATGTTCAAACGGGGTTGGGTCTAGGACCTCGACGGCCTCGACGAAGACGGATTCCGCGGCATCTCGGACGTGATCGCCGACGCCAACTTGCCGGCGAAGAAGATCCGCAAAATCTTCTCAAAAAAACACGCCATGGCCCTTGATGACGTGGCAGGCACGATTGCGAGTCTGTACCAAGCTAAGATGACCCAGGACATCCACGACGACTACAACGGCAAGCCTCGGTCGGGGTTCCTCGGTCTCGTGGAAGACTTGTTCATCTTGTACTACGGACTCAAGGAGTTGGCCATCGGCCAGCTCATCTGCATCGACACGGCGATCCACAAGTTTTGCGAGGTACATGCTCCATGGGAACACGTGTCGTCATAATCAGGATAGAACAACGCCCGGGTGCGACTCTTTGGCATCCTCATCGGGTCCAACGCCGCCGTGTGCGCCACACAGCCCATGGGACCGTCGCCAGAAGCCATCGACTTCTTTCTCTTTCTTGTTGGCGTGCTCTTTCACGGTACTACATAAATCGTGGAGGACCTACATTTTGGTTTGGAATGATGGTCTGGATACCATCTTCAACAAATAGAGTGTTGGTCGTTTTGGGTGCAATCTTCAAGTGTAGACTTTGAATGTTGGTGGATCTAAACTTGGTTGCAGTGGGCCACTACACAACCCAGTACGACCACGCTCTGGCCGTGGCAAAGCTGCTCAAGTCCCGGTTCGGAGATGGTATTCCGCACAGCCCCCATAGCACACGCATCAACGTCCAGGAAGCGGTGCATGTGGTGCAGATCGCGTTTGCGTTCGACTCGACGACCGACAGCTCCGAGCACACCGAGTGCATCCAGCTCGTGCAAGCGTTGGCCCTCAACGACACGATCGACATCGACCAGTTCCTCGAGCAAGTGATGTTGCACTGGTTTGCCATGTACGACAGCCAAGTCGCGTTCATGCAAAAGCTGTTTCACAGCATGGACCACGACAACAACGGCGTGCTCGAGTTCCACGAGTTTAGAGGTAACCAGAAAGTTTTCTTTGGGGGTTTAAGAATGATAGTCATACGAGGCTTTCTTTAATGCCGAATGATGGTCCTACTACTAGGCATGGTGCACAAGCTGGACCCTGAGATGACCCAGCGTGACTCGCTGGTCATGTACAACAGAGTCGCGGGCGCCGACAACGTGATCGACTGCAAGGAGTTCGTCGCGTGCATGATCAGTCACCAGCAGCACCTCATCTTGAAGACGTACTTTGGGAATGCCACCCTCCGCCCGAACCCTGGGCGTCGCGCGAGCCTCAAGTTTCAGCCGGAGAAGACATTGATGCACTTGTCCACGCTTCGGGACACCGTCAAGTCTACCGCGCAGTTACCGATGGACGATTCCGCGACTAAAGAAGTAGGTAGCGATGAAGACAACGAACGAACCATTGGTCATGCGGAAGAAATGAGCGGGGGCGCACTGCCAAGACGGGAGTCGTTCGCGCAACTTCCATGCAACATCCTCGGGCGGCTGCGCGAGATGGCGACTCGAGGTCTGTCCGACGAGTTCATCGTGGAAGACAACAAGGGCTATGGATTGACGGGTCCAGCATCTGCATCGAAGAGGAGGTCGTTCTCTTCCGAGGACTGGGACACCAACATGGACGACATCATCAACTCCGTCATTGCCAGGGATGGCGAGTTGGGATAACTTTTACTGTAATTCAAGTTTAGCCAATCCGATTGCGTTCAACGAAATGCTCGAAATGGCGGCCTTTGATACGTCTAAAAGCTTTCTTTTAAGCCAATCAATGTTTGTTTTTGCGATATCTTCGAAATCATGCGCGGTGATTGGATAAAATGACCGTTACAACCATTTACGAAGTTGGGGCATGACCTCCAAGACGATCCCACGCAAGCAACCGATGTCCCCCTCGTCGTCCAAGCCGTCAGAGTCGATGTCGCCGCGGCACAACACATCTGCTGCGCGGACGTCGTCGAATCCGGAGGACATCATGATGCTCTTTGATAAAATCTGCAGCGACTACTTCATGGCGCGATACGCGAGCACCGACAGCGGGCGGCACATCCTCTTGTCGTCGCTGACAAAGCTGTGTCGCGTGATCAACCGCCAACAAGTCAGCGACAAGATGAACGCGCGGATCGCAGCGTACTGCGACGCGTTGGTGGCCGATGCTCGGAAGAAGGAGCACGACATGAAGCGCGCGGCGAAGGACGACATCCAGATCGAAGTGGCGCTGCGCGACTGGATGAAGCCCAAGTTTCTGCATCTGCTCGAGGAAATGCGACTAGAGTTCGAACTCAACTACACGGGGTCGATGCCCGACGTGGTGGGGAAGGAAGTGGCCGCGCTCGGCGAGATCCGCATCGAGGGATGGCTGCGCAAGAAAGGCGCGCACGTCAACCTATGGCGCGAGCGGTACTTTATGATTCGGTCGTCGGCCAACGGCACCCACATCCTGTGCTACTTTCGTAAAAAAGGCGACCGAGAGCCTCGAGGTACCTCCATCACCGTCGTATATCATATTGGGACCTTGTCATAGGGTGGTACGTGCTGGGGCCGGGCTGCACCGTGGACGAAGTGCGCGAGTCCCCGAGTCTCATGGAGTCGAAGAAGCTCTTTACCTTTCGCATTCGGCACTACTCGAACAAGCTCACGGACGACAACTCGAACGGATCGTCCGAGGAAGGGGCCGACATGCTGCCGCCGCCGCCGCAGACCGCTTCGGTCCAGACATCCCAGCCGCCACCCCCCTTCCCATCCCATCCCCCTTCGCTCCTCTCCAGCTCTTCGTCCGGTGATGGCTTTGACTTCAACTTTGACCCCAAGGCGAACATCAAGAAAGCGCGCATGAAGAAAATGGCCGTCGCCGCCACCGCCGCCACTGCCGCCACTGCCACGTTGGTATGTCTTTGCGTGTGTGTGCCAACCTATCGCATATATATATATATATATATATATATATATATATATATGAATAATATTTTGATGGTTATGAGTTATATATATATATGCCCATCTAGAATGAAGTTTGTATCGTTTGTATCCAAAACGTCTCCAAAGTCGATACTACTATCCTGTATGCATCTGTCCATATCGTGAGACTACTGCTTCTTCCACACTACCGTATATACAGTATATATATATATAAATTTATATATATATAAATAAATAAATATATATATACTAGTGCGTCAGATCTACAATATAGAATAATTCCACGTCGATGATGTCCATTGGATATATATATATCAAATCGAAACATGAAATCGATGATACACTATATCAATCTCTCAACCTAATTGCGGATGCATATGTAGGTTCTCACGGGCGGGTTGGCCGGAATCGGCATGGTAGGCGTAGGCGCGGCGGCGTTCTCGTCGGCGGCCCTCACCGCGTCGGCGGGGTCGTACCTGACCAAGACACACACGGCGCCCATCGCGCTCGCCGCCGAGTCGCTTGAGACAGCCATCTGGTGGCGGAACTGCCTTCTCGAGTGCATCACGCAGGCCGAGCACCACTGGCGCAAGTACGTCCAGTGGTACTTGGCCCAGGACGACAACGACGAGTCTCTCGGGGACCCCATGTTGGTGGCACCCGTACCGACGGGCGCGACCCCCCCCCCCCCCCCTCGTCGTCCAGCCAGCATCGATTGGCCCCACCCCTCGACCAATCAAGAAACAGCTGGCGTGGCTGCGACATGTGTTGGTAGGGGCCACCCATCGCTCGTGGACGCTGCATGCCCAAACCACCAACCTCCGCGTCCACCGCCTCCGCCATCCCACGACGACGCATGCCGCCGTGTTGAAGGCATCGCTGTCCATCCCTGGTGCGTCGGCCGCCCAGGTCTTTGACATGCTCTACCAGGTCCGTGCTACGACTGCTGTGTTGAATACTACGTGTGATACTGTGACATGTGTATACCCGTCGTCACATCTTGTCCAAAGCAACTTGTCATGTGAATCTCTCACCTTTAGTTAAACATGGTGTTTGGCTACAAGTGACACTGTATGACCAGCAGAATCAAAGTTGATAGTGTCCGTTTATGCAGCTATGGACTCTTGTGCTGATTGATTCTTTGCCAAATCTATCGATATATCGATTCTTCGTTGTCCTGATGTTTGTATGTCGTCCAGTATCACATTAATTTCAGTCACACACTAATTCAATGTTGAATATATTGATCGAATGTGAGTGGATCATTTGATTGGCTAGTTGATTCGTGTTCTCGGTTTTGATTGGTCGTATATCGATTGTCATTGTCGATTTGGTGATTCTGCTCATACTCGATGGAGCACCACCCAAACACTCCAATTTCAAATATATCGACTTGACAATCATGAGGATGATCGTATTGCATATAAATATATATTTATGTACACAACATGTATCGAACGTCGTGGTGATGTGTTGTATAGCTCGACAGTCCATTCTACATGGCCAACAGCGTCATCCAACACGCCAAGATCGTCGCTTCTGTCGATACCCACAATGATGTGATGTGGTGGCAGTTGCATCCGGTGGCGCTGTGGCCGGTGGTCGCAGAGGCGCGGGACGCCGTGCTGGCGAGGCACTGGCGGCGCGACGCCAACGGCACGTACGTCCTGGTCTTGCACTCGACCAGTCACCGCGACTGCCCCAGGTAGAAGCCACCACTATGAAAACCGATGAAGTCGTGACGTGGCAGCGTCACGTAGCACTCGACACGTTCGAGCGGACGTGGTGAATGCCAGCTTTGTCGTGGCGCCGCCATCCGTCGAGTACGTTTCAAGTGACAACGACGACACGAGTTGTTTGGTGACGTTTGTGCTGCACATCAACCCCCGCGGGTGGCTCGACTCGGCCGTGGCGGCGCACTTGGCGTACCCGCACAGCTTCACAGTGGCCATGCTCGACATGCTCGTGGATCTCAAGGGTGCATGTGTGGCCCAGCAGTATAAACCACCGCCGAAAACCACTTGACAAGTCCGCTCCAGTACTACCAAAGATGTACTGTAGTAGTTGTCATACTAGCTATTACTTTGAAGTAATAGTATTAGTTATTAGGCGAGAGGACGAAGGAAATACGTACTATTATCGACTCATGATATATTCCTACCTCGTCCACTACTATGAATAATTTTTAAAATTATTTTTTATTCTTTTTTATTAGTTGGATCCTTATGGTACAGTTGTGCCGTGCAGTCGGACAATCATTCGATCGACAACGATGATGGTCTGCCGTTCGAGTGTATGTATATATGTGACAGAGATCTATATTGTATCCATGTTAAATCAATCCCAGCACTTGTGCGGTGAGCGCTCCATGCGTCGCAGCTACTTTTGGTTTCAGTCGGGTCAGCACATGAACGAGCCCGACTTCGACGGCCAACGCCCGCGCCGACGGCACTTGTCGGAGCAACCGACCCAGAGCCGCCACCAACCGCTCGACCGCCTACCAATTAATCAATCACATCATCGACCTCCCACTCTATATAGTCGTCATCACACGCGCTTACTTCTTGATCGTGCGTCGACAACTCCACCGACGATGTCGCATACATGTCGAGGGTTTCTGCGACACCACCCACGACCGTGAACTGCACCGTCCAGTCTAAAGCCAGGTCCACAGTCTGTGCAAAGTTGAACACGATGGCAGATGCGACCGCGGCTGCTGGATGCGAACGCGGCAGGCGATGCCACGTCGACCACACAAACGGCAAGAAGCGTAGCGCATGGGGTGCCAGCAGCGCCGCGGCGGATGGCGTCGCCAGGATGGTCGCAAGGAGACTCAAGTAGACGATACGAAGGGCCGACGAGAAGGTTTCGGCGGACGGTTGGTCCACGTGATCCACGAGAAGCGCGACGACGGACGCAGCGTCGGGGGGTGGGGGGGTCGCCGCCGGGGCCACTTCGGCCACCAGCACCACCACGCGGACGAGACAGAGGGCCATGAATGGATGGCTGTTGTTCGAGGTGGTTTGACGGAGAAGGCGCAAAAGTGCTGGCCACCACATGGACCTGCAAAGCGCCGGTCGGTTGGTTTACTTACTACTAATAGACGGGAACAACTGGACTAGTAATACTAGTAGTACCTACCTGTCGTCGTCGGGCAACGGTGACGGGGGAGACGTGGCTTTGGCATACGCCGCCAGTCGTTGAAACGCCGCAAGGTCCTCCGACGACAACGAATGGACAGCTGAAACGTGTGACAAAATCCGATCCACATGCAATGCGGGGTCGCCACAGATCAAGGGCCGGGTGTAGCTGTCCAAGGACTTTGGGACGACCGTGGCGGCGGCGGCGGTGGGTTGTCGTCTACATGGAAGAGTAAGGTTTCCATCGAGACAATGACGAGAATGACACATGCAAGGACACATACGCAGCGACGTGAGATGGCGCAGTAAGGAATGAAGGTGCTGGGAACGACGGTAGCGGGTTGCCGCCACAGTGCGACTGGACGTTGACGGCCATGTTCGCTTGCATTTGTTCGATCATGGGACGAAACATAGCACTACATGGATCATGTCACAAGATAGCAGGGTGGAGGCACGTACCCCATGGGGGTTGACAAGACTTCGTTCGGAAGGTCCAAGATGTGCTGAGGGATGCTAGTGCCGACGAGGAAGTTGACGACTTCGTTTGAAAAGTTGTTGCAGTTGTTCGTGAGCAAGTTATACGAGGCAGCCGTGAAACGTGGACTCACGTCTTGGAGGAACGCCATAAACGCTTCGTGTGGGACTTGGGTCGTCCCCAGTCGAAGCACTTGCACCGGTGACCCGTACGTTTCGACCACGTATTCGGGAGGGATGGCCTGGATACCGCCACCGAAGAAGTACTCCTTCTCATACACAAAGACTCCCGTGTGCCACACCCCTTCAATCTGTCGGCCTAGAAGCGCGGGCGACATCTGCCGCGCCATGCCACGCGTCAAGTCGTACACATGCAGCACCACCTCGTACATACCACCGGTATCCCTTTCCAAATTTGCCGTCCAAGAAGTTCGGAGGAAAATCAAGACCAACATTCTTGAGTATGTATTAAGGGAGGTTTATATACTCATCGAATATTGAGGTTTTATCCGGATGACAATTTTGATCCTTTCAAGTTTTGGCGGTTTCAACTTCGCACAGCACCCACCATGGATCGAAGGCACGCACCTCGTCGCACTCGTCTCCACAGCCCTATGCATTTGCATTCTAACAATTTCCCAGCTTGTGCAGCAGTTGCGAGGTGCCATGCCGTCGAGTCCCCGTGCACTGCGGTTCCCAGAGACCCTCATGCAGGTGCTGGCTGACCCCAACACAGCCGTCATGTGGGTGGACAACGGCACGTCCATCCAGTTCACGTGCGTGCATCAGCTGAGTCAGGAGGTGCTGCCTCGATACTTTCGGCACAATCGATGGACGAGCTTTCAGCGCCAGCTCAACAATTACGGATTCCTCAAGAAGCGTTTGGGCGGTAATGCCACGACGTACACGTATTGGCATCCCCTCTTTGTCCGACACAAGCCTGAGCTGCTGCATCTAATCACGTCCAAACGGTCCCCGCAGTCGCCCGACGTCCCCTCGCCAAAGAATTTGTCTCACGATCCGCCGCTGAAGAAGTTGTCGCCTCGAATGCTCCATATGAATGCCATCGACAACCCTGCGATGCATCGCGCTGTGCTCGAGTTTCACGGAGATGTTGAAGCGTATCCTTCGGAACCGGTACATGATTTGAGCAACCTGGTGTGGCTGGACGATCTATTGCAAATTACGCCATGTGAAGCCGCCGCGGTAACCTTGTAAATCAAACACCAGATAACTAACACCCTCACTTGCGAACGACCTGTGTGATGCAGACCGGCGATCAAACAGAAAAGGGACAGGTGGCTTTGATTAAGTCGAAGCCCCAAACCCATGCAAGAAACAACAAGTGCAGACTTGGCGAAGTGAGCAGCTGGTTGAGGTATGTAGGAGGTTGGTCGCACCTCCATGTACGGTAATGAGGGAGGCTGTAGCTCACAGGGCCGTAGATGCGGTGGGAAGGAACGAAGCCCGACGTGACACGTCGCAGTCACTGTCGATAAGCCAATCGCATTCATGGGTACAGGACACTACAGCACAGGTAGCCCAATAAAATGGCCGTGCCAAGAGCGTCCGTCAGCTTTGCAAAGACACGACAACAAGCCACGACATATTCATTTATAGAGGTTTGAAGGGGACGGAGCGCGGGCGCCCCGGTTTCGTCCACGGATCAATACTCGCCATAATAAAATTCGGCGTTGTTGACCTTGTTTGCGATATTGGGGCTGGTTCAACAATAAAAAGTGGGATAATAATATTCCGCACGACCCTGAAGATACGTGACGCTTCGGCCTCACACAGATGAAAGCAATTGGATTGGCTCATTCCATGGATTTCGACCAATCAAAACAGATCATTTGTGGTGAGACCACCTTCCTACCTTCCTACTGCGTTCTGCTTGATGTGGTAGGATTGTATGAACTTCCACCTTGGTTTCCACCCTTTAAGGTGACGCGTCGGCCCCATACACGAAACATGCTGTAGCAAATAGTATCAAGCCCTCTGCCCTTTCTCGTGATTGCGTGTGTTGGACGCCGGCGAAGACTGCTCCCTGTACGGACGTCGACGGAGGATTGTGCAATCCTTGCGTCTCGAATCCACCAATGCGAGAGTGTTTTTCGAATCCTCGGCGTTTGATTGGTTCAATCTGTAACAGGGCGCCAGAAATCCATCCGTTTATACAGGTTTCCCTGGGAAAGGTATCCAAAATCTTTCACTTCTCGACTTGACGCGCGGAGCTCAGACGACGACATCTCTAGCACCATGTACCGTCGCCTGCAGCACATCAAGCCAAAGCCCGCGCAGCACAGCATGCTCTCGCGTGATATGAGTCACATCCGCAAGCTCATGGCGGCGAACCGAGGGGAGATCGCCACACGCATCATGCGTGCCGGGAACGAACTCGGCATCCGCACCGTCGGCATCTTTTCGGCCGAAGATCGGTTCACTCAACATCGATACAAGGCCGACGAGTCGTTCTTGGTGGGAAAGGGCAAGAGCCCTGTCGCGGCGTACTTGGACATTGACAGCATTGTGAAAATCGCCAAGGACAACCACGTCGACGCGGTCCATCCCGGGTATGGCTTTTTGTCGGAAAACGTCGACTTTGCCAGAAAGTGCGCGGCGAATGGCATTACATTTGTGGGGCCGACGCCGGAGAACTTGGCAACGTTTGGGGATAAGACGGCGGCGCGTGAGATCGCGATCAAGCACAACGTTCCGGTCGTGCCTGGGACAGATGGCCCAGTGTCGTCGTTGGAGCAAGCGCGCAAGTTCATCGACTCGGGCGTGGGGTACCCAGTGATCATCAAGGCAAGCATGGGCGGTGGCGGCAAGGGCATGCGCGTCGTGCATAACGCCGCAGAGTTGGAAGCCAACTTTTTGCGCGCGAGTTCCGAGGCGTTGGCGGCCTTCGGCGACGGCACCGTGTTCATTGAACGGTATGTGTACAAGCCTCGGCACATTGAAGTGCAGATTTTGGGGGATGGCAAGGGCAACGTGGTGCATTTGTACCATCGCGACTGCTCGGTCCAGCGCCGCCATCAGAAAGTGCTGGAGACGGCGCCGGCGGTGGGCCTTTCCAAGGAAGTCGAAGCCGCCATGATCAACGACGCCGTGCGTCTCACGTCCGCGGCCAAGTACAAGAACGCGGGAACGGTCGAGTTTCTCGTGGACAAGGAAGGACGTCACTACTTTATCGAGGTGAACCCGCGCATCCAAGTCGAGCACGTGATCACGGAAGAGATCACGGGCATCGATTTGGTTCAGAGCCAGATCCGCATTGCCAACGGCGACTCGTTTGAGAGTCTGGGGCTGGTCCAGGACAAAATCAGCGTCCGCGGCCACGCCATGCAGTGCCGCGTGACGACGGAGAACCCCGCGCTCGACTTTCAGCCCGACTCGGGGGTGATCGAAGTGTTTCGGTCGGCTGGGGGCATGGGCATCCGTCTGGACGACGGCCCCGGCTTTGTCGGCGCGCACATCACGCCGCATTACGACTCGCTGCTGGTCAAAGTCACCGCGCACGCCCTCAAGCGCGAAGATTGCGTGCGGAAACTCAAGCGCGCGCTCTCCGAGTTCCGCGTGCGCGGGGTCACGACCAACACGAGCTTCCTGCAGCACGTGCTCGCGCACCCCGACTTTGTCCGCGGGCACGTCGACACATCGTTCATTGCCGACAATCCGCACTTGGTCGCCGCGTCCAAGTCGACCAACCGCGGCCAAAAGATGCTCCGATACATTGGTAACACCATCGTGAACGGCCCTGAGAAGGATTTGGGCGCCACGGGTCCCGCCCCCAGCGCCATGGACCCCCTCGTTCCCGTGCTCTCGGCGCCGTCGGCCCCCCGCGTCGGCAAGTCACTGCGTCAGATTTACGCATCGGAAGGCCCGGCTGCGTTTGCCAAAGCTGTTCGCGACCACAAGGTACGATATATGGATGGATGGATTGGGGCACACTGTTTGACTTGGTCACACTATTTTTTGCTTGTATTGGGTCACACTATTTGATTGTGGTTTTGACAATGAATGTATTCGTAGGGGTTGCTCTTGACCGACACGACGTGGCGGGACGCGCACCAGTCGTTGCTGGCGACGCGAGTCCGCACGCGGGATTTGGAAGCGATTGCGCCGGCGACGGCGATCGCCCTTCGCGACGCGTACTCGATCGAAATGTGGGGCGGCGCCACGTTCGACGTGAGCATGCGCTTCCTCCGTGAAGACCCGTGGGAGCGCCTCGCCAACCTCCGCGCCCTCGTGCCGGACGTTCCGTTCCAGATGCTCCTGCGCGGGGCCAACGCCGTCGGGTACACGAGCTACCCCGACAACGTCGTGTTCAAGTTTTGCGAAAAGGCGCAGCAGACCGGCATGGACGTGTTCCGCGTGTTCGACTCTCTCAACTACGTGGAAAACATGCGCCTGGGCATCGACGCCGTGGGTGCGTCCGGCGGGATCATCGAGGCGGTGGTGTGCTACACGGGCGACGTGTCCGACCCTGACCGCGGTCCGTACAACCTCGACTATTACCTCAACTATACGCGGCAACTGGTCGACCTCGGCATCCACGTGCTGTGCATTAAGGACATGGCGGGGCTACTCAAGCCCCAGGCGGCGACGCTGCTTGTGTCCGCGATCCGCGCCGAGTTCCCCGACCTGCCCATCCACGTGCATACCCACGACACGGCGGGTACGGGCGTGAGCTCCATGCTTGCGTGTGCGTACGCCGGTGCGGACGCGGTCGACTGCGCGACGGACGCCATGTCGGGCACGACGTCGCAGCCGTCCATGGGCGCGCTCGTGGCGGCGCTCAAAAACACGGAGCTCGACACGCGCATCAACCCCGAGCACATTAACGACATCAACGACTACTGGGAAACCATGCGCGGTGTGTACGCACCGTTCGAGTCGGGTCAAAAGTCTGGGTCCGCCGACGTGTACCACCACGAAATGCCAGGCGGACAGTACACAAATCTGCTGTTCCAGTCCAACCAGCTGGGGCTGACGGGGCAGTGGCCAGCCATCAAGAAGGCATACGCGACCGCCAACAAGCTGCTCGGGGATATCATCAAGGTCACCCCGTCCAGCAAGGTTGTCGGCGATTTTGCGCAGTTTTTAGTCCAGAACAAGCTCTCCGAGGACGATGTACTAGCCCAAGCCGAGACGCTGAGCTTCCCCAAGTCTGTGGTCGAGTACTTCCAGGGGTATCTGGGCATCCCGCACCACGGATTCCCCGAAGCGCTTCGGTCCAAGGTGCTCAAGGGGCGCCTCCTACCCAACGGCAAGTCTGTGTTTGAAGGCCGGCCGGGCGCCGAGCTCGCGCCGTACGACTTTACCGCCGCACACCGCGAGCTCGTCGAAGCGTATGGGTCCGACAACATCTCGGAGCTCGACGTGCTGTCCCACGCCATGTACCCCGCCGTGTTTAAGAACTTTATGGAGTTCAAGGACAAGTACGGGTCTCTGCACTTTTTGGACACGCGTACGTTTCTCACGGGTCTGAGTGTGGACAAGGAGATTGAGCTCGAGATTGAGCACGGCAAGACAGTGTTTGTGCGGCTCGTGGCCGTCGGCGGCATCTCCAAGAAGGACGGCACGCGCGACGTGATCTTTGAGCTCAACGGCCGACAGCGCGTGATCAAGGTGGCCGACGAGAACGCCAGCGTGGGCAAGATCGAGAAGCTCAAGGCGAGCCCGAATGTCCCCGGGTCCGTCGGCGCCCCCATGCCTGGCGTGATTGTCGAAGTCAAGGTCCAGCGCGGCCAACAAGTTAAAGCCGGCGAGCCGCTGTGCGTGCTCAGCGCCATGAAGATGGAAACTGTGGTGGCGGCGCCCGTGTCTGGCAAGGTCAAGGAGCTGCATGTGGTTGTGGGCGACAGCTTGAAGGCCGGCGAGCTGGTGGTCGAAATCGACGAGTCGGGCGAAAAGGAGTTGTAAATAAATCTATGGTAGATAACATATTGTCGGATAGTGCGTACGTACAGATAAGTTTGTGTACAGATATATCTACTAGTTAGCAGGATTGCACTGTATCGCATATTGTATACTTCCTCTGTTCCAGGTTACTGCCGACATGTATTTTGATTTGACACAGACAATCGAGCCCTCACTCAATTTGGGCGAATGATACTTTGGGAATTGCATGAATTTTCGCAAAAGATTGGTTTATAATCAGCGCTTAAAGCAATTGTAAGCCAATGAAATATCATAAATATTCGATATTGATAGAAATTGAAGAATTACAGCCAATGAAATGCAAATGTCGCCAGGAACTTGGAACATGCGAATTTTGAAATGTCGGCAGTAACCTGGAACAGAGGAAGTATGAGGTAATAGTATGAATGGAATGATGATACAAGAGGTAGTGCCGAATTCCATCTCTTGCCATGAGCTTTGTAGGTATTAACTACATCATGTATATATAGCTTGTGGACTGTGAATACAGTTAGCAATTGCGACCAGTCCTGTTGTGCGTACAAAAACCTCGTGTAACGTCACTAGTAGAGATATAGTGTCAAGCAAGTCCTAGGGGAATAAATAATGCTGTCAAATGGCGTGGGGGCCATCTAACTGTAATATACTACGTAGTACTTCGAAGTATGTATAGTATATATATATATATTGATATCCACGTTTAAGCATACTCGGGTTGGCCAAACGCGTTTGTGACAGACTCGGCGGGGTTAAAGTTGTCTAGCCAGGCGCAGTTCATGTCAAAGTCAAAGTGGTTGGCCGGGTCATCTTCCTTGTTGTCTGGGAGGAGGGTGGTCGGGGGGAGGGGCAGCGGCGTGGGCGCAAAGATCGAGCTCATGTCAAGGAGGTTGAAGCTCGGGCCATCCGTTTGAATGTGGAGGTTCTCGATGTCGCCCATGACATACGACGGCTGTTGCTTGAACTCTTTCAAGTCCGCCGGGAACATGCGATGGTACGACGTAGGCGTGGATGACGCGGCTAGGAAGTCGGGCATCGAGTTGAGGTGCATGAGGGTGTGGTGGGGTTGGCGGAAGTGCATGTTGTTGTGTGAGTTGGTGGATTTCTGGGACGGCACCTTCTTCCTCGAACTTTCGGGGCTGTTCTTGCGCTTGATCAGGTACAACCGGTCTGGTCGGTTCTGACGAAAGTCGGGATGGGAAAACGTGCAAATGTTGGTCTGCGACTTGGTCCATTTGCGAAACCCAAAGTAGTTGAGCTGGCGCTGGAAGCTCGCGTACTTGGAGTGCTTAAAGTACTTTGGCAAGATGTACTGAGCCATGCGGTCCGTGTCCAGGATTTGAATAGACGATCCGCCGTTGGCCCACGCGATGACTGTGTGGTCCTCCTTGTCGAGGATCTGATACAGGTACCGAAGGAACTTGGGCACGCCCACCTTGCGCTTCTTCGTGCACATGAGATCGTGGTTGGAAGTCGGCGACGAAGGCGCGGAGGCAGTGGACATGACGTCTGAAATCGGGAACTGTCACGGGGTCTAGTAACAATGCCCATGGTCGCCGTCTTGTGGACGAGGGTATTTGTTTGGGTTGCCGAGGTGGTTTCACTGGGCAACTGGCAGCGTGGTCTCTGATTGGTCCATTTCCGTGTACATGGCCAATCAGCGCCCGGCGGTTTCAACAGGTCGACCGTTTCGACGGAGCTGCGGGAAATGCAGGTTTGGCAGTGGCGGAGACCGCCAACGTTCGAAAATCAACGGCCTCGTAGCCCGTTGGTAGGTAGTACGTACGGCAGTAATCGGCGCCTCTCGGTAGATCAGGTCCAAGACGGCGAAACCGTGACCCCCGAAAGGGCACCGCATCTCTCACTTTCGTCCTCGCCACGTCCTTGTCATTATGGTTGCTTTACAAACCAAGGTTGTCTTTAGTTATACATACAGTATAATGGTTGGCCAAAGGTTACCACTTCCATCGTTGTCCTTTGTAGCTACAGTATATCAAGTAGAACCACTGATTCAAGTTACTGTGGTGTGGTGAACGCCAAGTCATCAGTGTAGGTAGATCTCTACTCCATAACTAGTGAATAGTACTACTTCGAAGTACTTCTTAGTAGTTAGTTACCTCGAAGTATCAACGACCAAGTACTCAACAACAGTTCTGGAAGTACTCATACGTTTGAGTATATGTACTATACCAAAGTACTTGAAGTACCTTTGTACTTTGAAGCAAGTACCACGTACTGTACTGTAGTACAACTGTACTTTATTAGGTTAGGTACTACTGTACTCAAGTACCTACTACTCAATGGCCAATTTGACTGCATTATGGTCCTCGTGGTGTTCGGGTGAGGCAGACATCCGCACTCGGTACCGCTTCTTCACGGCCTGCTTCACCTCGTCTTCATCTTCGTCGTCAAAATCCATAAATAAGAGCGGAAACATGCCCACGAGGCATCCAAACGAGATGCCGATCGCCTGCGAAAAGTAACTCACCGCGCGGACATGCGGCATGCGCGCCTGCGTGGACGACAGCTGGGGGTCCTGGATGCCTAGTTTACGAGCGAAGGATTCGATGACCCCGCCGAGACTGAGCCCTGCAACGTCGGCGACGCAGTTTCCAAGGCCGACCGCCGCGACGAGGGAGATGGGGAACATGAGGCGGATGTTCGTTTCGAGGAAGTCGCCGGCTGTGAGCATGATGAGGTTGTCCACGACACCAAATCCAATGAACGGAATGCCGGATGCGAGCATGACGAGGCGGAGCTGGTGCGCCGTTGGCGGTTCCATGGAACTATGCCCGATCGAACTCGACAGGGTCTTGGGCAAGAATTGGGATGTGATGTACGAATGAAACTCCACCGCCGTCAGCTTGCCGTCTTGGTTCACGTCGGCATCTGCAAAGTGTTTTTCCAGGTTGAAGTCCTTCTTGTGGTTTGCCAACACCCTCGTGATCACCACTTCTTTGTCTGAGATTGACAGCGCCTCAAAGTCGTTCACGACCTTCGTTACGCTGTCCTTCTTCCGCTTCTGCATGACACTTGTCGCCTTTCGAATGCGATGGCCTTGCCGGACCTGCCCAAAGTACGCCTTGATCACTCGCATCGTGATTGACCTCTTCGAGTGTCACCGAAAATATATATCTTCATCACGACCGCAATCCATAGCATACAAACTCTCATATCATGGCACAATTTATATTATTAGGGCGATAAGCTTGAATTCAGTATGGGAAGAGTGCAATAAGAAAAAACAAGAGTACTACATAATAGTAGTAAGTAGTAGTACAGTACTGTATGGGGAGATCTTTCCTCGCTTAACACCCACGGCCACACGTTGATGCCGCCTGCCAACGGGTTACTCTTGGGGGTGGTCCGTGCTTACAACGAGCACCATACTACCCCTACCTCATCTTACGTCCTGACAACGTCATAGCGCAATGCTTTTTGTGGACGGGAATGCCCAAGCGATGCTCCATAGTACTCGGTTGTAAGCTCGTGTACTTACCAAATTGCAAACTTGGAGTAGTAAATACTAGTAGTACATAGCATTTTCAATCTTCTTACACCTATACAAAGCACACGTCCAAACGCGGTAGCGTCAAGCTACAGTAGAGAAGTATTATTACCGCCTTGTAACTCGTCAAATATTATCACACCGGTCACGTGTCGTCACATTCATTCCGACGTCGACGGGAATGCATGTACCGTTGAAGGGAATGAATGTGTCATGACCACGTTGTTGTGCGTGGTCCAAGTCATTTACTCCGGAGTACACTGTTAATTTGTCAATCAAGTCCGTCGACGAACATGCAGCCAGTGTCGTCGGTCGCGTTGGCGCTCGCCATGTTGAGTGTATGGCTGTTCACGAGCCAGGCCGTGGCCGCTAGCTCCCCACCTCACCCCACTGGACGAAGTGTGGCGGACAACGCTCGACTGGCCATTGCGTTTGTGCAGAGCCAAATGGCATTGTATCCCATTCCTGGCATGGGGCTGTCGGTCGTGTACGAGAATGAGACGGTGCTTTCTTATGGGTTTGGCACGAAGGAGGTACTTTGATTTCGCTCCGTTCAAACGTTTAGCTAATATGGGACGATGTCACACATCTAGTTTGGAAACCCCAACGCGCCCGTGACGTCAGACACGATGTTTCAGATTGGGTCGTTCTCCAAGACATTCATTGCCATGGGCATAGCCAAGTTGGTGGACGAAGGCCGGATGAACTGGACGGACACGGTCAAGACGCACTTGCCCTGGTTCAAGCTGTACGACAAGTACGCAGAACAGCACACAACGCTGGCCGACTTGCTCGCTATGAACTCTGTGTTTGGTGACCACGAAGGGGACGTCCCGTTCATGATTGGCGTGTTCGAAACCGAGCGGGAAATGGTCCAACGCCTAGCGGACCTGCCCACCTCCCGCCGCCTCCGCCCCGGGTATGCTTATTCGAACGTCAACTACGCCATTCTGGGCCAAGTCCTGGAAGCAGCGACCAACCAAACGTGGGAAGCGTATCTGAACCAGACGATCTGGCAGCCGTTGGGCATGACGAGCACCGTGGGGCGAGTCGCGAGCCTCCCGACCCATCAGCTCGCCCAGCTGTCAAGTGGCCATCTCTTTTGCAAACACCATGTCGCAGGGCCGTTCAATTTGGTCAACGACTCGAGCATTTACATGACGACCGACAACTCGTACATTGCCGCGGGCTCGATCATCACATCCATCGCTGACATTTCCAAGTTTTCGGCTTTTCTGCTGAGAAAAGGTCGAGGGATCTTTTCGTCCAACAGTCGCGTCGTGGCCGATATGCTCACGGGGCACAGCATCTCCACGTCCCTAGGAGGCCCCGGATCGCCCGTGTACATGTACGACGACGTGCGGGCGCGGTCCGGAAACGTGTGGGGCGTCGGCTACGGCTTCGATTTGGTCGGCCCCGCGATGTTTGGCCACAGGTACTTTGACAAGGGCGGCGACACGATCACGTTCAAGACGCGCAACGGATGGGTGCCCCAACGGGAATTGGGGGTCGTGGTCGTGGCCAACGCCCAGCGAATGGGGGGCGACGCGGCGGCGGGAACAGCGGTGGACCGCGTCGCTGCGTATGTCCTGGGGTTGTTCATGAACGAGCCGGTGGAAGGGCTGGATGCCCGGCTGCAGCGGGCGCTGGACATCGTGCATGCGAGGCGAGCGTCAGTGCCGCCGACCCCCGTCTGCGACGTGCATGTGTTCCAAGGGGTACCGATGGAAAAGGACGTTGGCAACCAGCCAACAAGTCTCGACGGTGTAAGAGATGTCGTTGGAACTTATGTAGCTCCGTTCTACGGTCGTGTGACTGTGACGTGGCAAGACGAGAAGCTCACGATGCAGTACGGCCAATACGCTGGACGCCTCCTGGCCACAGAAACCAAAGGCGTGTACACGTGGGCGGCGCGGACGTTCCTGGCAGACGCTCCCGTGGAGTGGTCCTCGACCAATCACAGCCGCGTGATTGAGTTTGCAGGAGCGACGTTTGTGTCCGAGTAGATTGAACAAGTCGTAGCATGATGGCACCAGTGTGTTGTGTGTGTGTGGATGGGTACAAGTCTGATAGAACTACATTGCTGGTAAAGCTGTGACAGAGTTGAATACTAGGTGACGATAACAATCTGTTGCGTGCATGGTATACATGCAACTACTATTGGAACGTCGTCGTCGTTCCCAACGTGCGCGGAGTTGAGCGGATAGACTGGGTTTGTGTGCACAGGCGTATCGTACAGATTGGCACTGTCGACTTTCAACGGGCATTACTGAATACAGCCACGTCCTGTAAGTATACAGTAGCGCTTCCCCGCGCAGCCATATCCGATGACAAGAACGTTTGCAAGTCTCTCGCGTCTCGAGCGCCAATGCAAACCTCGTTCGTGTTCAGGCATGAGGTTACGTCTACCAGTACGAACAGCTTAACTCGGATAGCGATGTGGTTCAGTGAGCATTTCGATGCAAGCGACTTGGCATGGTTCATACATGTAGTTGTCAGTCATATTGGATGGTATTCGTCCAATCAGGTCGTAATTTGAATCAGCCAATCAAATTGGAAAAGTTCATGTATTTCAAATCCAATTTCAGCCAATCCTATCGGAACTCTCCCCCGCCGTACAAACCCTTCGGTATCAATTCTCACCAACAAATCGAAGCCTCTCTCTTGGAGCTACCACCGACGGCACCATGGTACGGACGTTGCGGGATGGAAGAAGAGCTTACGAGTGTGTGTGTAGGTGATGAACAAGAGCAGTAAGATGCTCAACTACATCAACTACCGCATGAAGGTAACCCTGGCGGACGGCCGAACGCTGGTCGGTACCTTCATGGCCTTTGACAAACACATGAACTTGGTGCTGGGGGACTGCGAAGAGTTTCGAACGCTCAAGAACAAACTCAAGGGCGCTGCGGCGTCCGTGAAGGAAGAGCGCGTGCAGAAACGCATGCTGGGGCTGGTGTTGCTGCGTGGCGAAAACGTCGTGTCACTCACGGTCGAGTCGCCGCCTCCGGCGCACGAAGTAGAAGGCTTGGGCAACATGGGTCCTGGGTTTGGTCGAGCGGCGGGTCGTGGATTGCCTGCCGCACCGATCGGGATCCCCATGGGCTTGGCTGCGCCGATGCGAGGCGTCGGTGGTCCTGCTGGCATGCTGCAACCGGGTCAAGGTATGTCTCATGTCATGTCCATATCTCTGCAGCACTCGCCTCAATGTACCTACGACAACAACAATGGACCATGGCGATGCGCAGCCCTTCCACATGATTGCAAGGAACAGATAACAGACAAGCACGACATGCGCTTGGTTGACGCTCACCTTTACTACCGAAAAAACTTACTACGATTGATCTTAGTATGATGGAAGGCTAGGCGTCGTCGTCCCATTGTTGTCCAAAGTCGTCGACGCGAGTGCCGCTGCTCCGTCGTTTAATGCATCTCACTCTCTTCTTTAGTTGCGGCTCAAGCGCCGGCACAGTCGTACGGCCGCGGCATCCCTCCGCGAGGACCTCCTCCCGGCATGCTTCCCCCACGTGGCCCGCCGCCGCCAGGCATGTTTCCTCCGGGCATGTTGCCGCCTGGTATGCTGCCGCCTGGCATGCTACCTCCGGGTATGCGACCCCCGCCTGGCCTGGGCATGCCGCCGCCCCCGCCTCCAGGCGGACCGCCCATGATGCGACCTCCTCCTGGCCAATAATTACCCCAATTTAACACGATACGTGTGATTCTTACTGTGTAGTTAGTATATTAATACTTAGTACCTATTAATAGTACTCGTTAACGTACCAATCTACCCTCCAATATTTGATGGTTGACTCATGCGTGACACTTGAACACGCCGATGCGCTACTAGTAGTGTGCTGGCAGGAATTAGGAATGGAGCATGAAATATCACTTAACGTTATCTCAAAAATAACATCCAAGTTGATCAACTTTGTTTGTAGTTATCTTTGCTTCCAAATATAGTGTGAATTCGCTCTAAACTTCCAATATTCGCGTGGTTGGTCTAATCAATATTGAATCACGTTCTGATTGGCTGACTATACTTGTCCTTTCTGTAAGAGCCAATCAAATCCACTCAAAATTGGATTAGCCAATAGCGTCGATTCGTGATTTGATTCGGCGGCGTGATTCGATCTGGAAATTTGTACCGAATTTACATTATAGCGCGATTTCACATATTTTAGCAGACCAGCCCCTCGGGAGATATCGAAACTTTGATGACGCTTTACTCGAGCCTTGTAATACCTCCTGTACAGCAATACTACTCGTACTACTACGTAGTACAAGATAGCCCATTACTAGCTCAGCCTATGCAGCATAGTCTGTGCATACACAGCTCTCTATCTGGCATGAGGCATCTTACCCGGATGAACACGCTTGTTGTTGAAATAGTTACGACGAATTTGGCAAGTTCGAAGTTGTCTTTCTCTACATGATGTTGATTCAGGCGACATACTCACAGTCAGTACAACAAAGTGATCTTAGTGGGATGGTGCAAAAGCCAGGGGGAACACTTAGCCTCCTAATCAAATAGTAAACGCTTGATCGCGCCTCGAAGAATGCACCACACTTGCAGGGCAACGTTGTGGTGATGGGCAACACAATTGCATGGCCGGGCTGGTTGAGGCATTGAAAACCTCTATTGAACTTGTCAATGCTGATTTTGTGGACGTAGCCACTGGAACGATGTTTTTCACCACGAGCTCCTCACTTTGCACAATTGTATTTGGTGTACACCAATCGTGTTCGTACTTTACGACATCATCTACATCCAATGACCCATAAGCTTACGCCTCGGTCTATGCAGTTACATGTCTGCACTCAAGGGACGACATACACGACTGACACTCCCACACGTCATGGCCAATAGCCTTCAGAACAACTCTGTCCAGCGGGTCTCCGATGTGTGTGTGAGTACACACACATCGCCATGAGTGTGATATTCCAGGACGAGTTGGATTCCTGACGATATCGCTGCCAAGTCAGCATCGTCAGGCATTGGCTCGTTGACGACAAGGCTCTGAACTGACCTCTGTACAACTAACTTCACATGCGATACAGTAGTTATATAACAAACTCACCGAACGTGAATACATTCGGTCACATTGCTTCTTATAGCCAATCATATTGCAAACTTCATTCTTGTTGGCCAATCATACGTATTTGGTTGATTTGTTGGCGGTTGCATCAACCACCTCAAATTGGCAATATGATTGACAGAGAAATACTTCGTAGTTGCACGTGGCAAGGCTCTATTCGCGTTAGTTAGCAAAGCTAGCCAATCAGGCCACAAGGCCACTTCCACCACGAGCTTTATCGGTTTGGGTGACTTTTTCAAAGGAAGTCGCTAGGTCGACTACTATTAATACTACTTGAAAACAGCCAATAGTAATACTATACGAGTCCATATTCTAAACGACTACCGTCGTTGTCGTACCTGGAATTAAATGTGAACAATTTATTTAAATATTCGAATTGTATAATTGATTCAAGATTGTATTGAATTATAGAATTCTATTCGCGTTTTGTATTTCATCGTGCAGATCAACGACAAATATGGTAGTACTCGAGAAAACACTATTTTCGAGTGATTACTACACCAATGGCGTCTTTTCGTCGACGATGAGGCGTGCATCTTGAGCAGCTGGCTTCTTGAGAAAGTTATCTGTGACCTACAAGTTATGACGTGGGTGAGTAGACGTACTAACTAGTCGCAGCACTGGGAAAACTACAGCGCCGTACCCAGAATTGTAGCGCGTTCATGAGGCACGGGCACGCGACCATGACAAAGAGCAGTTCGAGCTTGGGGTAGTTGGACAGAGGTTCGAACAACCAGTTGCCAAATGCATTCAACGGCGACGAAAACGCGTAGATGGCGCGCGCGATGACGAGCTTGGCCGTCAACACGATGGCAATCCACGACAGCAGTTGCGTGAGCCAGACCCTAACAGACGGATATAAGATGGATGGATGGATGGGATATGTACTTGGCTTGAATGGGGTTGCCGTAGAACCCGGGCACTTGGAGCCACGTCCAGTTGAAGTGGAGCTACATGAGACCCGTGGATGGATACGGCAGAACGACGGCGAAATACGTACCGCAGCCGCCACGGTCGTGCGCAGCAGCAGCCAGTTCAAAAGAACCCCCAAACTTGTGTCCAACGTGAAGTTGATAAAGTAGAATGAGCACTATACCGATGACCGATAAGCAACCACAAGCTTGGAGGGTGGAAAGTACCTCGTCCTGGGCGTCTTCGGAGCCCGCAAGCTTGACCAACAAGATCGCGATGAAGAGGTTGGCCGCATGCGCAACACCAGCACCGATTGCCTGCTTGGATGCGTCGTACGCCCACACCTTCACACACCGATGAGGCGCATGCGACTTGTGTGGAGGATCAAAGTACCTGGAACGGACGCTGCGGCTTTTCATACGTGCGCTTCAGCACGAGCACGGAGAGGGCGATGATGCCAAGGCCGATCTGGACCAGCGTCTCGAAGGTGCCGCTGATGAGCTTGCAGTTGTTCGCTTCTCGCGCAGTCGCGTTGATGATCGACATGACGAGCGAGGGAAAGCCGGCAAAAATGATGAGGTAGCAATGCCTCGGCGTCGCTGATTGGTTGATACCATATTGATACGTATACTCATGTTATCTTGAAATTTGTATATAATCACCTTCTGCGACGAATCTCCTTAAATAAGGCAATACTAGGAGGCCTTTTACTACAGTATTATTGTCGAAATTGCTGATACTATAGTTACTACTAGTATTACTTTTTATAAAGAAATTCGGTATACAGTACTTTCCGAATATCCTGTCCTCGAACTATTTGGTTTGTATGAGTACTGTAGTGGTGCTTGTAGGCTACTAAATTTAGTACTTCGAAGTATGTACTACTAAGCAGTTTGTTCGTTCCTAAGAAATGGACGTCCCGATCGACTTTGTGTAAAATTACCACAGCAGAAACATCATTTGTATATATTTCAATAGATATCACAAAAATCTATTATATTATTTGATAGTACTGTGAAGAAACCAATATATAATTCGTGAAAAAACATACAGAAACTCTTCTGACCAATAGGAATCTAATCCATTTGCCCATAAGTATCCCATCTGACACTGCCTTGCAATTGGCAAAACATAGGTTCAGTAAGTACACTTGTACAGGTAACGTTAATACATACTACGTAGTATGTACTTCCGGGAATGTACATATATTTACCTTACACTGCCATACTGTACTGTACTACTACTGCACCATTTTGCGTTTAATTCCAGCTTTATTTTCAATGTATTTCCACCAACCTCCGATATATTTCACCGAATCGCCAATATAATTCACCCAACCTCCATTATATTTCACGCCGAATTGAAATTTGGCCATTATATTTGACCCAACCTCCGACAAAATTCACCCAAATGCTGCTCCGTGCAGCCATGACGAACTCATTAAGGAATGGATGGAAATATATTGAAAATAAGCTGGAATTAAAGGCAAAATGGTGTAGTAACAGTACTACAGAAGTACAGTGTGGAAGTACGAGTAGTACAGTTGCCGGAACTTGGGAGTAAATTTTTTCTAAAATATTTCTATTACTGTAGGATAGACATAATTGCCTAATTGAAGTACATTCCATTCTCAGGCGGCATGCACTAGCGCGGCGGCACATCGGCGGCGGGCAGTCTGCATGGACGGCAGTTCCGTCCACGTGTTCGCGAGGGTGTCATAGAGGTAGAACGCCTTGGACCACACGCCCTTGGTGATCCCTCCGTTCACGTACACCGTGTGTCCCAGTGCTTTCGCGTCAAAGCAGAACCATTCCGCGAGCGGCAGGGGCGCCAACGTCGTGAATGTGTCTGCGGCGGGGTCATACCGAAGGACGGACTTGCCGTGGAGAAACACGAAGATGAACGCGCCCACCGTGACGGCACTGCAAGGACCTGGCGTCGGGAGCGGCGCCAGTCTCGTCCACGCGTTAGTCGATGCGTTGTACGACTCGACAGCATCCGTGTACCATTTCTTGTCCTTGTCCTCGTGATCGTCGGCGTTCCCGCCAAACACGTACAGCTTGGATTCAAAGGCGGTGGCGCCAAGGAGGCGGCGAGGCACGTCCATGGGGGTGCACGTCGTCCATGAGTTGTTGTCGACATCGTACTTTTCCAGGACAGGCGAACACTTGGATCCGTTCACCCATCCACCGATGCAGTAGATGCTCTTGAGCTCGGGCACGTGCACGACGGCCAGCGCATGTCGGTATGTCGTCATGGGTGCAATCGCAGTCCACTTGTCGTTCGTGATGTCCAGCCTTTCGCACGTAGCTAGGTTGGAACGAAATCCACCCCCGCCTAAGATATACAGTTGATTCCCGACACCCACGGCGCCATGACTGCCGCGGTTTTCCTGCATGGACGGCGCCGCTTCCCAGCACTTGCGATGGAGGGAGTACCGTTCCACGGACCCCAACGTGCGTCCTCTCAGACGGCCACCCGTCACGTAGTAGTAGACATTGGTGACGTCCGTCGGGGTTTCTACGAGCGCCGTGTTCACTGTGTGGAACGCAAGGTTCACGGCGCAATCCTTGAGATGCCGAAACAGTTTGTTGCGCGATGGGAACGAGCTGTCTCCGCATACATCACACTTCAGAAGCGCCGTTGTCGTGTCCGTTGTCGGTGCAGGCGGTGGGACGCTTGCCGTCTCGTCTGCGGTAGTAGCAGACGCACCTTCTTCAACCTTGCGGACCTTCTTGGGCGGCATGATGTGGGATTACAGTACTGTTTGTAAGCAATTGATTGGTGTCGAATATAACAATATGTTACTCTGTTCCAACACAATAAAACTGTAAAAAAACAACTAATGACGTTAGCTTCAGTATCGACGAGCAATATGAATAAAACATAATTTTTTGTATTTTATTAGCTTACAATTTATAGGTATGGGCGCAGTTCCGTGACAACGATGCATGATTGGTAGAAACAATCACTCTAAAATTTTCAGCCAATCAGATGCAATGTTTGTCAGATAACTGTGGGGATGCTCTAAGAAAAAATATATGAAATTCAGTCCCAAAAAGTATCACGGAACTGCGCCGAGGGGTATTTATATATTATATTTGTGAGGTCACTATTTTGGCAGTTCTATTTCCGTTATTGAAATGGACAGGAGTAAACAAGGCTCGAATCATTTGATTACTGGAAAAATCTGGCACAAAAGCTATGATTGGATGGAAATTAACCAAGCTGGTTTGTTTGGGTCCAATTCAAGGTGATCATCATGGCAAGTCTATATCATGTCGACAACTTTGAACTTTACAGTGGTCGAGACCATCCACGACCCTTTATATTTATTAAAAATATTAATATGTTCTTACAGGTTTCATTTTAATGAAGCATTATTTTAAACTTACGTTCTGTATTGGATTTGACCATTTTAAATAATTGTGTAACCGTTACAACTCAAGATTACAATCTATACTGTTATGCGAGTTTTTCATGCGACATTTGAAAGGTATTTCGACCATTACTCGAAAAATAAAGTGAATCAAGGTATTTTAATGGCAGAATCGAATTCATGGAGGAAAACTACTTATGCCTGCCTACCCTTCGATGGAGGGGTTACTTTACTCGAAATTGCTATTATAATAGTGTTTCTTAAAGAGGAGACTTAATGCAGTTCGTAGAACTTAAAATCATGTTGAAATTGGTATTAGGGTTGATGGAAAATGAATTAAAAGGGTGGAAGTATCGATAAGCTGAAAACAGTTCCGAGCCACTTGATTTTATCCTGGGGATGCTCTTAGAACCTCAAATACAACAGGTTGTTTTGGACCTGCAGCAGGGGAATTAATTCCACAACTACTTTGGGGGCTGGTCTGTGAAAAACCATCCACGCTTTAAGGCAGGGATGTTATCCGAACTATTTTCGAGGATTCTGAAAATATATCAAAAATATTTCTTAATTTCTATCGAAAACGTGCAAAAGCAGGAACGGACACTCAAAAGCAGGGATGAATCATCCCTGCTTCAACTCAGGCGTCCCT